ATCTTCCTATAGATGTTAATCCACCAACGATGGAAGAATTCGAAATGGCCGTCAGACAAATAATGAGTGGAAAAGCAGCAGAACCCGATAATATACCAGTTGGAGCACTGAAGTGAGACATCGAAGTAACTACAAACATGTTTCACCTTCTATTCAAAAAGATTTGGAAGGAGGAACAAGTGACGATGAACTGGAAAGAAGGACACCTCATCAACGGAATCACACTGGCTGAATGTAAAATATGTTGCAAGCCGCTATCACGTTAGCTGAGCAAGTCATGCTGTTCTACAAAGCCTCTTTCGATTTTCAAGGCTACTGAGTTACTAGGCACAGCCAAAAACAGTCATCAGTTAAAAAACCAGCATCAGGTGAGTAGCTATCAGATATCGAAAAAGCAGAGGGCGTCATCATGAATCCAGCTTTAGATTTGAATGGAAATATCAATATGGAGCCCCATAACGTAATGGATGATAAATACATGGTTATAAGGGAAAAGAAAATACATGCAAAGAGAAAAATGAATTACAGACAGCACTGAACTATATAATTTGATGGTTTCGGCTGCAAACAGACTATGAGGAAGCAAAGCTATAGAGTTGTAGATGATTTAGTCAAGAATCGAAATAAAGTCAAATATTAGACTAAAGTAGCACTTAAAAAGTTGAGAAAATAGAGTAAAACTTGAATGTCTGACATCAAATCCGACTGTATGGATGAGAAAGGTTTGGGGAGCTAAACCTCATAGCTTGTCAAAATGGATTTCACTCAGAGGTTTGTCATTTTTCATAAGCTAAAAAGGTCATCCGAAGAGGGATCAAAGGGTAGATTTGAACACGATCTAAGCTGCAACAAGTCCTTTATAGGTAAGCTACTTCCAGAAAATTAAGCGGGAGTTGTCATTCATAAGCTTTATAGAATAGAAACAAAATGAGGTTACGAATATACACAGACAAGCTGTGTCTTAAAACCTACTTTTGTTTCCACTAAATAAAGAGATATAACAGTAGAAAATTCACACAAGCTGACGAGATCCGGAACATATGTAGTGAGGACCTCAGTTTGAGTGATCATATTGAGGAACGGTCAGCAGAGGAGGAAATAAATGGGCTCAGTAGCACAATGATCGGAAAACCACGCATGGCGGTACGGAACGAGTTTTCACAGAATTAAAGGTATACTACACAAGCGCTTGCAACCTGCTAGCTAAAGTGCTGGAGCCCCAAAACTTGGTGGATGCGGAAAACCTTGGCGTCATTGCCGCCTAGGAATCTTCGGAAGCGCATGATAGTGACGTGCTTGACTCTTTACTTTGTAGGGCTGACAGACTAAACCACGGGAGTGATGAGGTTATCTTGTACGTGAAAAGAGCCTGACTATACGAGCTTTCGATACATTGTCATACGACTTATCGACATCTGAACTGAAACGCTGCCGGCTGAAATGTCAGGGTCAAGAAATCGAACATATAGTATGACGCAATCCAAAATATGCAGTGGATGGCCTCATTCTAATTAAACTTCAATCCTGGCCAAAGAGGTGTAAAAGCCTTTTAGCAAGTGACTTTAACCGAGATACAAAAGTAAGTACAACATAGGGGGTGAGTCTTTGCCTGTAGACAGGTATAGCAAGGATCATGGAGTGAAATTGATTTATAATCCTGAAAATATGGCTGATCACCGCGAAGTCGCGACTAAGGAGTACAGAACCTCGTTTAAAAGGTGATTCGGACATCATGGAATGAGTACAGGGGGCAGCTACGCGTATGACTTCAGAACTCCGGAGCTTGCCATATAAATCGCGGCTTGATAACCCAGACCTCATTACTCTGTCCTACGCAGATTTGGAGGTGATCCGACTTTAATATATAGGATACTAAGAAATAATTTTTGACCTGACATATTTGCTCCTTTTCTTCCTACTTGACTATAACAGCTAAGAAGACACAACAGGCGAGTAAAAAAGCCAAGAATGAACAAAATACTCGTATCATAATGGTTTTCACAATGGTTCATCAATTCTTGGAACCTGTTATCCAAAGAAGTGGTGTTTCGTCCTCATTTAACTCGTTCGTGAGAAGAGTAGACACTCTCAGAAGCTTACTAGGAAAGCATTAAGACACGCCGCAGACCTTCTGTCCTAAGTACACAAATCTAAATCGGAATGTGGATTCATGGTAATCAATATGTTGAATGAACACAATCTTATACTCATTTTGAAACACGGTTTAACTGAGTATATGACTGTCTAGTTTCATTGATTACCTTTTGCTCAGTTATGTGACCAATTCAAACGTCTTACGTGTGAATGCATCCAATATTACTTTGTTTAGCTGTCTGTTTATCTACCTCTCTGCCGATCATATTTAATTATTATATTGGCCTTTACATACTTCGGAAACGCTGACTATCTTGAGCTAAAAGGAATCCTTTGTGATTCATTACTATCACACGCGGTAGCTCGTTAAGAAGAAGAAGAAGCTTTCTTTATCCCATTTGAACACTTTTAAAGGAGAACCTGAATCTTCATAGAAATACTTAATCCAAAGATCGAAATGGATCACATAACCTATCGTGTTTATTACTGAAACTGTTATCGGTTTCATCAATCCCGTTGCTTTTAGTTCTTACGATGTAATTGGCGCAACCTATAAGTGTTTTGACTTTCTGGGCGCTCTCCGTTTGTCTGTTGCGTTATCGCGCAGTTTTCATCTGATAATTCTAAGTAAGTGATCAATGTGTTATCGTATCACTTCTCACTATCAAGGTCAAGAAAAAAATATTAAGCTCTTGATATTGCAGCTAATCAATAGTCTGTCTCTTATATGGAATACGGTCTCATCCAATTTGACAACTACCTATTCAATGGAAGGCTTTAATAAATGGCTATGTACTCACGTATTTAAGTGTTAACTATCCTTGCCCGAAATATATGTTGAATACATACTCAAAGTGAGACGTTCCCGTACTAGTTAGTTTTACCTTCACCAACCAACAAGGTAGCTTGACACCTGCAGGTTTTAGGAACTCTACAGCTGTGATGTAGATGCACTTATTCCTACTCAAACTATACCAATCTCCAAATAACTAGTGAATTAATTTAATCTAGTACAGCAGAGTGGTTGGGCTACTGTCACTAGACTCCTCATGACCTAAAACTGTCTTTTGGGATAAACAGACGAACTCAAAAAATACCAATTCGTTTGTACTACCTCGTTAGAACGGAGTTTAATGAGTCAGATATCGAGGTTTTGATTTGATCGCTTAGGATCTCTCGTGAACAGGATCTAATTGCTGATTTCTTTTGTGCTCATCTTTTGTTACTAAATGGCGACTTCATAATTTGTGTCGCTACGCTGAGGGTAGTTCATTGTGTTGGTGAATGAACTCACTGGTTGTCTTGTTCGTTTAGTCTGTTATCCATTTAGATTAAAACAGTTCATGATTAAGTGGATGATTGTTCGGCTTCTCATTAAAAATGGTTGTTAATATAACTGAGTATCACCAGCCAAAGTATTCCTTTGTGTAATAATATAGACGTTTTTAGCTAATTTATTGCTACTTTATCAGGAGTTTTGTTTACTGTTGAAGTTCTGTCCTCTTCCCCACTTTCTTTATCATAAATGATGTAAAAGTTTGTCTTGATAAAGAAATACTTGGTGGTATACTCTACAGTAGTTGTGAGTAAATATCAAATTTATATCATTATAAACATTCTAGCCTCTAAGCAAATGAATATTATGGATCACCAAAAACGTTTAAAAGTTTTTAGTGACCACTGTGTAAGCAGGTAGATCTTAGGTCATCAATAACACTAGTCCTTACATCACTGTGAGTTTTCATGGTAACTCAGCAATATTGATAGCATGACTGTTCCGACTCAAATAATTCAAAATAATCACTAGACTCATTGTCACACCTTTTGGTACGGGATAGACTGAACTATCCGGTTATTTCACTTGCTCTGTTTCGAAGCTCATGAGCTTCCTCGCTTTTGTATAACCTTTCGTATCTCAAAGTTTCTATTTATATCGAAATTTGTGACGTCCTGAGTAAGGATAATTCACTAGTGTATAACTGACATAAAGTTCTTATTGGGAATTTTTCTCGAGAAACTTGGCTTAACCGTTGTCTATAAATGCGGGGTTGTTGGTACAAAATATTGGCACAAATATAAATATATAACTGCGGTTAAGAAAAGTAAAACTCAACTGGAACTCAACAGCATTAATCAAAGTTACTGATTATTGATGTGAAACATGTCAAAGATTGTACGCCTTGTGACTGGAGTCCTTTAGGTGGTAAAAACTAGTGATTAGTAGATCTAGGTAACATATCTCTGTATCTATCGCTGAAATGTGACTTCGTTCTTTTGTCTACTGTGACCTTTCGACATGTTACCCTATTTATCCGATTGTTTTTCATAATACTTAGGTTGTTTTCCTCTTGACTAGTGAGTTGTATGTCATTGTTTAGTATATGACACATCAAAGATACAATGCAAACGAATCTGTATTACCAAGACCAACTTTTGGTGATTACATCTTGTCAACAAGTCATAATTATTTGAGTTTTGAATGCATCATACAATATTTTCTTTTATCTTTACCTATTTCTATGTATCTAGTGGGTTAGTGATAATTTGTTTAGTTTACTGTTTTTTGTAGATGTTGCTAAAACTGTAATATCATGCCGATAATGATGAATTTGAATGCTAAACTTATTAACTAAAACTAATTAATTTCATCCTAATTCTGAGACATTCGTTGGATTTATAAATTTATATTAGTAGATATTTCGTATATTTTTTTATTGTAATGAATTATGTACGTCCTTGTATATATGTGTACATACGTCTATTTAACATTCTTGTTTTACTTTTACATTTAAGTTTCATATTCTAACTAATATGTTATTTTATGCTTACCTGGTTTGTGCGCTTCATATAGAATAACCTTTCGTTGGAATTAAAGGAATACTTATTCTTAATAATTCTCACAAGAAATGGGATCTCACTTTGGTGTAGTACAACCAATTTTCACGGGTAAGATGCTCTATTATTAGTCTAATTATATAAATATCAACCTTTAGTTTGCTCTCAGTTGGTGATTAATTTCAATTTTTTTATTTTGACAGTATAAGTTAATGTGGAAAAAAATACACAAAAACATCAAATTGCTGTCACTAACAAATTGTTTGTATCTTCACTCAACTCTTAATAGATTCTAACATAGAAGTAGGGATTATTTAAATACTCTGTCATATCCTATGTTTTTAGAGGGTCAACACGTTCAAATCTAAGTGCATGAAATTTGTTTTTACTGACAAATACAACAGTTTTGATTAGTGCAAAAAGTGACCAGTTAACTTTTCGTCAGTACTAATGACTAATAATTAGTTTGACTTTAAAACGTTCGCCAACTAAGCTAGGTCAGAGAATAAATTAGTTTCAGGGTTTTCACTTTAGTCTAAAAGAACGTGTGATCATTTTATTATTACATATTTAAAAGTTCCTCAGTTTTGATAATCTTAAATGTTCTTAATATCAAAACGTGGCACTAGTTCATGAATTCATTAACTGTTGGTTTAAACTATTTTGATAGATCCAGACTACCTTGTTGAGGTCCGCAACTAGTGGTTGAAGATTTGGGGTGAGGGTTCAAAATCGTTCACAATGAAGCCCTGGTACTGTCGAGTGTGGGGAGAGTCAGACCCTTCCCTTCGAAATTCACATGGACACTCGTATACAACCACTGCCAAGGAAGTCCTGCCCACTGCCTTCTCATGGCGAGGATATTGTTTACGAAATTGAGAGGGACGAAAAGTGAATGTCCGGCGCTCTAACCGGGTTGCTGGATACGGAGATTCCACCTAGGGGAGTCGGAAAACCCTGATTCCAAACCAATGGTGCACAAAGGCCCCAGGATCCTGAGGAAACAAATGGTGTATGAACCTATTGCTGGTTACCAGCCACCATGGGACTGCATCGTCTAGCGTTGTTCCACTGCCTTGTGGATTAGACCTCTAGGTCAGAGGCTTGGGGATTGGCTCTCTAAGAAAACCACTTGCCTCGATTTAGGCACCTTGACAGTATTCTATCTCCCACACAAATTGAATGATTTGTGTGCCTTGTACCAATGTTTGTGTTTCAATAAATGAGTGAATTCACTTATCACTCTTTCTTGCAGTATTCCTTCATCCATACCCTTCCATTTTACCTTTTACACCATATTCCCAAGATTTAGTTTGTTTTCTGTTCTAAATTGTGTATTTTCTCCTTTCAGATTTCTATGAATTGACAATGTCGTATGCCTATTGGAAAGCTGGAAAAGCCAATGATAATGCAACTTTTGAAGTGTTTTTTCGTAAAAATCCTTTCAATGGGGAGTTCACTATATTTGCTGGTCTTCAGGATTGTATTGAGTATTTAAGTTCGTTTAGATTCACTCAGGATGGTGAGTGAAACAGATGTGTCGATTAAAATTCTACATTTTATGTTATGTTATCTGGAATAAACGTGATTTGTGGGTTATTACATCTGTGCTTTTTTATGTGTTACATGTTCGGTTTTAATAGATAATTGACAAAAGTACTGTAATAGCTCGAAAATATACTAAAAACAATACATCAACCCCAAGTAAATTCAATAAACGAATATATATATAAGCATTTCTGAAAGGTTCCATACTAGAAATAAACAGCTGTCCATTGCCTCACGGTTCTGATCGATTGTCTATCTTAGGTCAGTTCGATCAGTAAACTTTGAAGTCCAACAATCTCCAAAGTCTCTTTATATTAACCATAGTAATATGTTGCATGTTGATTCATCATTTTTTCCTGAAATGTAATACTAGTTTTTTTACAATAAACTCTAAATCTTATCAATTTTTCTTTTATATTTCTAAATAACATTATTAGATGTTGAATATTTGCAAAAAATTATGCCATCAACTGTTGATCCTGATTTCTTTGATTATTTGCTTAGTATTGATACAAAGGGATTATTGTTATGGTCTGTTAAAGAATGTTCAGTTGTTTTTCCAAAAGTCCCTATTATGCGAATTGAAGGACCAGTAGTACTATGTCAACTTGTAGAATCTACATTATTGAATTTGGTTAATTATGCGAGGTAATTAATATATGCGTATCTCTTTTTTACTATCATTTCACTGGAATGATTAATTTATATATCATATTTCAATTGTACATTCATGTACTCCACTTGAATATATATATATATATATATACCTTGGCACTACCATGGTGCATAAACCAGTCAGACAGTCATAATGACTGTAGAGCCTGATATATATCTGGGTTTCCCCAGGTTTCCGTGCCACAGTAGCCCGGCAAGATGAACGGTATGAATGAAATCAAAGTGATATAGTAGTAGTAATAATTATAAAGATGGGACATTGAAAATATAGTTTCAAACGACAAAATGAAAGGATAATACTGGAACTGGAAATGTAAAGGAAAGTAAGGAGTAAATGTTTCTGCGCTAATATGACCGATTCTGAGCCGTGTCACTCAATGTGTGCAACCGTTGGTTACGATAGTTACACGAACCTCAAGCAGGTAGTTTGCATCTACCAACTTGGTCCTGTTCATTAATCAATGGCTCCATGAACTGATTCTACGTTCTGGTTCAGCTTCTAATTTTCTTACAACTTACTCATATACCAAAGCGAGGCAGAATTGTTTCATTCTGCATATCAGCTATTGAATACTGAATACCTTGACCAATAAGCCACTGCTCAGTTTAATATACACGAACATTTAGTGTCTTGTCGATTGTAAGGAATATTTACGACTGGTTTGTAGTATGTGATATATTTTAGATGTTCAGAGGACTATATAACTCGTCACAGGTTTTTTATTGAGATTATAAACAGCGGTTGTTTAGTCGGGTTTATGTGTATGTGGATATTAGTTTGATCCGATAACTACTTTTTTCAGTATGGGGTTGCGGAGATTGTTTAGCTTTTGATTGAGATCATGAATCGATGAATGTTAGACCACCATCGAAAACCTGGAAGCACTGAACGGCCGTTGCGGCCATCTTTCATTGTCTGAGGTAGATACCTGTCTCTACCTGACACGGATTAGTGCGCGAAACCGAAGGCCCTGGACTCAAATCCAGCGTTCGGGATCGTGGATACACACTGATGAGGAGCCCTATACTAGGACGAAACGGCCGTCCAACGCTTTCAGGTTTTCAATGGTGGTCTAACATTAATCGATTCATGATCTGAACCAAAAACGTTCTTTTTTTAGTTAAAACTAATATCAACTGAAGAACCATTGGAATTCATGTAGGACTGAGAACTTCGGTAATACTTATCCGTAACTATACACATAGCGTCTTTAAACTAATCACAGAAGCCAAGTTCGAATATTTAGCGCAACATAATTGTCGTGGACATGAATGGGTTTCATAGTTTGCATCAAGAACTGACCCTAGTCAAACAACAGTTCAAAACCAGGAGACTTTGGACAGCTGTTTCGTCCAGAGACCAGAGTACCCATCAGTGAGCGATGGAGTTGAACCGTGTCGTATGTGATGTAATTACCTACGGGCGTATTGGAGGATGATTGCTCAATATGGCTAATTGGTGAAAGCTAGAGACGTTAACCATTGGAAACCGACTCAGGGGTCCGAATGTCAAACACTCACCGCAGGATCTGGAGGTCCTGGGTCGAGTCTCCTGTGGTGGGGTTGTGGGTACGTAGTATTGAGGAGTACCGTATCAGGACGAGATACATTCAGTGCTTCTTGGTCTTATTAATTGTCTTCCTATGGTCAGTCAGCGCTATAAACCATATAGCTCAACAATTTTTAGAAACCCTTTTAATTAATAAAAATGTATTTCTTGACTATTTAATTTTAAAGGTGCTGAAAATTAGGGTTTTTATTTTACATAAATGACTCTAGACGGGATTAATCGGCGTAAAAAGATTTTGAAAAGTCTTTTTTCTGTTGTCGATATTTGGATATCTCATATTTTGGTTAATTACGTTATTCATCAACGAAAATGAAATATGTTGGAAGCAAGCCTTTATCCATACTTCAGTAAGCTGCAATTTTGCGGCTTTTAAGTTCCAAGCTCCGATTTCAATACTGTTTTGGTTGCTAGTAGTAGTTTTTAAGTATTTTATCGATGTACACACATATATTTTTATCCGTAGCCTAGTGACTACGAATGCTACACGTTACCGTCTGGCTTGTGGTCCAAGTAAAAAATTATATGAATTTGGTTTACGTCGTGCTCAAGGACCAGATGGTGCACTCTCAGCTTCAAAGTATGCATATTTAGGAGGTATGATTATTGATTATTATTGTTAATACGTCATTGATATTATTATTATTATTATTATTATTATTATTATTATTATTATTATTATTATTATATTCGTTCCACATATTCGAATTTTGAAGAGGGGTTCGATGTTATTAGTATTCATAGCGTTTCTATAGAATATAATTACTCGTTGACCCGTAAATTATTTAGGACAATATTTAAGTAATGAAATATTACTCAACTCAGTAGCCAAGTACACAGGTTCATATGCCAGGATTTAAGTCATATTTGTTGTGTAAAGACAGGTTTTCCGAACGGAAGTAAGTTTTCGAAGTGTAACACTGCTCACTTTATTGCAGTGGTTAGGTCATTCTGACACGTTAACGATAGAATTTCATTCACATCGAGGGATAAACAAGATGACATCGGTTACCATAAATTGATCACTTATTTAAGACACATGTGAATATATGAATATTAGGCTATTCACGTGCATCTGTTATATCTTTAAGTTTCGCTAACCTCAAGTAGTGGTTGTAATGAATTAATTGGAACGCAAATAATAGATTAAGAAGGATTTTGTTACTTATGAACAGTCTTGATATTTTTGTTCAAGGGATGGAATCTTTTTAGTCAAAGGCACTACATATGTATGTAAAAAAACTAGCGATCTTTTTCTGATGGTTACAAAAAATATTTATTTTCATTTCGTAATCTAAGTTATATTTTATCAAGCAAATCGTTTCACTTTATATCTACATATTTTTTACTACAGGTTATGATGGAACTAGTAATGTTCTAGCTGGGAAAATATATGGAATTCCAGTTGTTGGGACACATGCACATTCATTTGTGTCAGCTTTTCAATCTTCTTATGTAAGTGGCAAGTCTATGTCAAAACGGTCATATGTGACAATAAGTTTTATTTAACCAAACATTGTAGATTATTTTTACCGTATGGATTGTAATACTAATCGGGAGAAAAGTGGGATAAGACAGTTGTCTTAATCCTTTTCGACTGCTCATTTCCGATATTTGATCTATAAGATAGGAGAGTTAATTTATGATGTTTTTTCTTTCTAATAGTGACCAGTGCTTGTAGCACATTCATACATCATTTATTCCTTTTCGAGCTTGGAGCATATATACGCTACCGGTATCAAATATAATCTCTCTCATTAATCTCTGTATTGCAATCATATTAACTTACTCTGCCTTACTTTTATCTCTTTTTAGTTTTACTAGAAAAACTGCTGTTACTTGAAGACAGTAAGACTATTGTGGTAACAGTTAGAGCGTTTCAAGAGAAAATGTACATCACAATTTCTTTCATCTGTAACAAAGCACTTTGAATGTAAACTTCGGTTACCGATGACGAGCTCATTGATATTATCATCTTTCTGATGGAGTCTTGTTCTATGAGCTGGATGGTTTGATTGTAGAGCTTTCATCGTTCTGAACGACATTATCATCAATAACTTTATAGTTGAATTTCAATGATAGAATATCGAATACACGATTTTATTTCTGTCACAACAAATGGTTAGTATCAGCTAGAATAAAGTCAATGTTAATCCCTTTACCGAAACTCTAATAATTTTTGTCGTTTCAAACACTTAGTGGTTAATACATTAATCTTGCATTTTGAGTTACGATAATTATTTACAGTTCAACAGAATTATCTATGTATAATTAGATTATGAATAATTATTATTCTGTATGTTTGTATATTCTTAAAGTTACGATGTTTCGAAATGTTTCTTTTCGCTCTTAGGAAGGGGAATGTATAAATGATTTCGGAAAATTCAGAAGAGAAGCCGCCGATCTAAATAACTCATATGATGATCACCTTTTAGACTTAAACCGTCAACCAATGAAATTGAATGAATTTTTGAAACGTTGTTGGTATTGGTCTGCTAGTTTATCTCGTGTATTAAAATATCATTCAGATCAAATACATCCAGGTGAATTAAATGCATTCGCCAATTATGCTATTGCATTCCCGACAAAATTTCTTGGTTTACTTGATACATATGATGTGTTAAAGTATGTTTCTTTTTTGTGTTAAATTTTAATTTATTTTTCCTTTTCTTTCTGGATTTAATCTCCCTCTTTGAAAGGTTATTTCAGCATTACTAGGATTTACAATCTGTAGTGATATATGGAATAGATGCTAACAGTGGAACCCATACAACAAATTACGTATATATATGTTTGTTGTATTTCCCGAGGTAGATGGTTCAATTGCGGAGCTTTGATTGTCATTATCTTTAGAGCCTAATTTATACACAAAAGATTTTCAATCATTTTACATGCGTCATATCACTTCGTCCTGCTGACCCTGTATTCGATTGTCTGTCTTCGTAGCTTTTGTCTTCATCTACGATTATATTCATGCTGTCTTTATTTATTGTCCCTCGTTTTCTTACGGACTGACTTCTTCCGTATGAGTCCATACATTGGGTTCTAGATGTCCTCTGAGATTCCTAGTTTTCCTGATCCAGATTTTCGACTTCCCCAGTCAAATGCGTGTCCATTGTCATCCGCCTGCATTAATATCCGTGATAGTACACCATATCGCCTCACTGCTAATTTATGTTTATTTATGCTTATGTGCAGAGGGGAACTAGTTTGTTTAATATAATATTTCTCGTTTGGTGCAATTTATTTTGTAAACGATGTCATTTATCCTCCTTTGCTGTTGTGTCTCTTGGTATACATACAATGGAATGAAGTGATTCCGTTGTCTTGTGAGGGACGTGTATATTCAAGGAGGGGTGCTCATTAATTCTTTGAAGAACCAAAGAATGCTAGAAATAATTTCATCAATCAAGGTTCTTTAGAAACTTTCAAAAGAATTCTAGGAAAAGACAGTTTATCATTCTGACTACGCGCGTACCTAATTTTTTACTAATTCAAACAAGCGTTTTTAGGCTTTCGGAATTTCAAGGTCACATATGACTCTTTATTTTCTGTACAGAAGATAAATTGGGAAGTAAAGTTTCCTGTATCCTGTTCCTGTTTTTTGTCCTATCCGCCGTCCAAGGGTAGGAGTTTTCGGGACTAGTAAGCAGTTACGAAGTCACTATATAAGTTTTCAGGCACAAAATGTGTGGATGTGTATATTATAACTGTTGAATAAGTGATAAATTTGTGACGTTTAAATTGACGAGTTCTGAGTTCAAGTTTCAGTATGGACGTCGATATAATTGAAGGTACATATATCTGACATGTCTAAAGTAAAAAAATCTACATCCTGGATTCCCCTGTTTTAGATCGTCTAAAATCTAATTAAATTATTCCGATTTCGTTCTAGTCGGTATTGGGTTGTTACTAACATTTTAATACCACCCAAAAAATCAACAAAATAAGTATATATGATAACGCTACCAACTACTGAGATCTATTTTTATAATCTATCATATTTATAAGGCAGTTGTTTGGGAGAACGAAAAAATCGGTACAATATGAAGAATGGATTGTAATTGTCTCCACTCTTTGAAATGGTAAACCGATTGTAAGTTGGATAGTGTCTATTATTGGAATCTAGGACGCATGTTTTATCCCACATGGGACTCATCAGATAGATGTACCTGCATCTCATTATTGATGTTTGTACTGAGACTCAAACCTAGTATCTTTTGATTCAGTCAGCGAAAACCGTAAGCCCTTACAAGTAACATTTACAGTCTTGGTATAGTCTAGTGACTGTCTGGATTCGGTAGCTCAATAGATAACACCCTGGCGTATGAAGCGGGAGGTAGGCAGAATACTCAAAGACCAGAAGAGAAGATAATTTGGATCACAGAACATACTGCAAGATGATCGAAGAGCATGTACATATATTATATCAACATTATAATTTCTCTCAATAAACATTCTTTCTGTTAGGATGGCTTCCGAGTGCTACGACGGAGCCTCCAGAGGCTCTAAAGGAGCCGAAGAGTTTCCATCCAGTCAGAACGTGGTGGATCTCTAGAATGTCAACGTGGTATGCTACTATTGGACAGTAGAGTAACCAGAAAAATGCCGTGCTACAAAGACACCACCATATGTTTACAGAAGGATTGGGAGAATGTACGAAAGCCAAAGCATTACTAACCCTCAAACCTGGAGCTACTCCCGTTTTTCGACCTAAGAGGTTTGTGCCTTATGCTGCCCTTTCATTAGTTAGACAGGAATTAAACGGCCTCAGAAAATGGGTGTTATTGAGCCTGTGAACTTCGGTTGGGCTTCACCAATATTGGTGGTCAAGAAGTCTAATGGTAGCGTTCGCTTATGTGCAGATTACTCCACCAGACTAAATGAAGCTTGAGAGTTTCGCCAGTACACTTCACCTTTGCCTGATGGTCTCTTCATCAAGCTGAACGGTGGCAGGTATTTTGCGAAATTGGATTTGTCAGATGCTTATTTACAAATCCCTGTATCTGATGAAAACAAAGATCTTTTAACCATCAACACGCACAAAAACCGATAAAGACCCTAGACTGCTCGTAATAGTTTATGCGTCATTGGTCTGGTCGATAATTCACTGTTCTCTAATTAGCGGTTTCATTACGTCATATATTGATAGGGCTACAAGGCCACAAGTTATAAAACTTTCTGCCCATGTCTTTGTTCTGCAATAGTAGTGATATGTTCAGCGTTTCCATTAATATAATAAGAGGAATGTTTTACTGCCGATTCTCTTGAATCTTGTTTGTTATTTCTTAATGTCTAATCACAGATGTTTTTTCTCGAATATTTACAAATCTATTATGCAGATTTTTTGCTGCACTATCTTCCTTGAACTCAATTTTCAAAAAGAGAGCCTTCTTTAGAACTGTAGGTGTTGTTTTTAGGTCGTAGTTTTAATTTCAAATTTCCTTCAGTAAACTTGGTCGGATAGCTGTTTTTTGATGGGTACTTGTCGGAATTAGAGTAGTTCATCGTTCATTGTATCTTAGAATTATGTTTTTCTAGTTCTCAAAAGTAAAGAAGAACCTAGTTCTTTTTCTGTTTCATTTAACTCAGCTTTGAAAATTCGTATATTGGCAATTTCAAATTCGTTCTTTATGTATAAATCTTTGTAACGAATCATCTAGCCCTCTTTTTAATAGGATATCAAGAAAATGAAATTCCTAATTCATTTCTGCTTTTGTTGTGAATTTAACTGACTTATGACAGCTTTTGAATATATATAGTTATTATTGGTAGCCTTGGTCATTCTGATTTTCTGTAATCTAAGTTACATTATATCTTACCTCAATGTTAACTTTCAATGCATATATGGTTGTAAGCAGCTGATAAGAAACCATGAAATATAGGGAATCCATATTAGTCCACATCAATATTTGTTCTGGATTTATTCAACCTCATAGCGGAAACCAATTGTGTGAAATTTTTGGAAAAGACAGCTTTTGAATCTATCCATAATAAGATTAAAGTCACTGATGATGAACGTGTCATCCATACATCTGCATAATTGAAAGCTCTTGATTGTTGGTTGAAGCATCGTATTCTTCAAATCAACCAACAGAAAGTCCTCTTGAATAGCGCTTAGTGGTGAATTTTATTATTTTATCCATAGAACTTATTATTAAATCTAAACTAGAGATTAAAGGTACATCTTAGAAGAATTTTATTTAGATTGTGTTTTGGGACGACAATATCGAGGTTGTTGTTTACAAGACCATGACATATGGTGGGAACACTTATAAAATTAGAACCTATGTCAATTGATATCATCGTCTTTACGGTTGCATTGAAATCAGTAATTGAATCATTAAAATCAAATAGGTCAAGTGTGATATATCTATCGAGCTAATTTCTAAATGTTTGTAGAATTCCCTCTTGGTATTTAGCAGTCCTATGATAGAGTCAATTATTTACGTATTACTATATGGGCTTCAAAGGGGACATCTTTTTTGTTTGCTTTTGAAGGACTATATAGTCTTAGAAGGAGTGGAAGTAACACGCTTAGATTACTTATGGTAAATTTGTTTATTCCTTTTTTGCACATCTTGTAGATCAGGTTTACCAAATTTTTGTGCAGTTGCATTAGCTCTTCATGAATTTGGTTATCAAGCTATTGGTATACGTATTGATAGCGGTGATATAGCCTACTTATCATTGAAAATTCGTAATACGTTTCAGCTAATCAGTTCACAGTAAGTAGACTAAATTAAATTAATTGATACTTTTCTGTATTTTATAAAAATATCGTTTATATTTTGTTAGTTTTTTTGGAACTATGCTTTAGTAGTTCAAGCATCCATATTTTTTCTTTATGTTCATCAAAGTTTATTATTATTATTATTATTATTATTATTATTATTATTATTATTATTATTATTATTATTATTATTATTATTATTACTACCATAAGAGCACTTCCAGCTCCCACCTCGATGTGTGATATTCGCTGATGTAGGAATAAGTTAAAAATATTTAGGGACCTCCAAACCAAAACATAGCATCAGTCTATTAAGCTATTGAGCCATGTTAATAGGTGAAGACTACTTACTTGGGGTCTGCGTAATTATTACAATTAGTGGTTGAAGAAATTAGGTGACATGAAGGCTTGGGATCGGTTATGATAAAATAGATACACTCTTTTTTTTTACCTTGGATCTTAGGTTTTAAAACTACTTTATATTTCCTGTAATTTCATGTAATCATTCTTTGTTCTTGAATCATATTGTCTATACTTCTTTTTTCCTGTTCCCGCCTATTCTTTTACCAATTCCCCTACTCTGGTGTTCGTCTTGTTAATTTCAACTCGTTATGCTAATGTGGCGTGGCAGCTTGAGCCAATGCTTATATGTACAAGGCTCTACGTTGTTTAAAACTAACAAGGGACTATTGGTCATTTTATTGTTGTGATTTCTCTTTTCAGATTGTGATAAAAGTATCTTTTAGGGATGAGCTTGAAACAATCGCGACGAGTTTTCAGCCAGTTCTTAGACAATCAGAAAACAGCTTTTATAAATGGATAGTCTATGGAAAGGATAATAATATTGTATAGCGTGAACTGATTTTACATATTAATTAGTCGAAAAAAACGACATATAAACTAACCTTTATGAGTACAAACTGCCCATCTCCTGGATCCTCTAAATAAAACCCAAATAGATTTCTAAGAGTCCCCATATTTTTCATAGTCAGGGCTAAACTTAGGGGTTTAGGATTGAAGTTTTAGACACGAACTGAAATCAGCCACCATGTAGAAATGCTCTGTAGCCATATGGATGTATGAATCTCGCTCAAAAATACAAGAGGCGGTATCTGAATAGTGTGACTATAAAATATAATTCCACCAGGCTGTTTGTTTCAAGATTAAGGGCTCAGGATTAGTGTCGTAACTTATGCCCTGTGTCCTATTTATGCATAATATATTGATACCGCCAATTAGAGAACAGTAACCGAACCAATGACGCATAAAACCCGTACGAGTATTCTAGAGTCCTTATCGGTTCTACTTCCCGCCTAGCCCTGCTTGTTAAGTCCAGAACACCCATCTCAGCCTCTGCGATATGAATCATTTATGTCAAACATACTGGGTTTATATACCAACCAAACAGAACACATCGTACCACAAAATAGGAAACAACATTTTTAAAAGATTTAGCCAAAAGTGGCTGCGAATGTGGAAGACTGTAATTCATAAACTAGGAATAACTTAAGATTGATAAATCGTGTTATAATAGTTCATATGTCAAAACAAAGCTCATAATAAGAAGGAAACGAATATTATACGATAGAAATATGCGTATAATAGTCCAAAAATAGATCCCAACAATTACCATTCATTATTCTCATCGGGATATAACAATTAGGATTTAGGGACAGTGTCGATTTTCCTGTTATATGCAGTCTAAAGAGACAGAATTAGGTATTAAATACGTTCAACACTTATTTTTACGCTATGGTTTCAAAAAGTGATTTTTTAACAGTCATTTTAAACGTTTTGGTTAAAAGTACTTCTACTGCTCTTCATACATGATGTTTTAATTTCTCACAAGAACCTAAAAGTTCCATTCTCGATCCTGATTGATTAATCTATGAAGCACACTTGTACTTCATATCGTTATTTATTATCATAATTTAAAACATACACTACTACTTAATTAATTCAAGTTGGAAATATAGTATAAGTTGGTTTACTCAACTTTCAAGGACACATTATTATTAATGGCTTTATTCAATATTATATTTTGGTACAATATAGAATTCTCAGCCCAAGGTTTTTCAACAAGTTTCCTTTACAAAAAAAATAAAGGAACAACGGTTAAAATTTGAAGAACTGTACAACTTTCCAAATTAGAGACATGTCAAGAATGCAGGTTATTGACTAGGTTAACTAACAACCTGTTCGTCACAGAGTATATTTGCTAGGTAAGGTATTATAGAACTTTTATACTTTTGCTTGCGTGCATGGATTTTAATGTAATTACGTCTCGTTCTACCAGGACATATACAAGGAGAATGATAAGAGTGAAGGGGATGGTTAGTATGTGATAAAATAACACCTGCCAGGAGTTTGCATGACTTTAGATGTCTATCCACAACCATATTAATGATGACCTCGAAAGATTCACCACACACCTTGCTAACTGCCTTCAGCACTCTCCGCAATACAAAGTCTTTTCTCAAAATCCCAGGAAAAAATAATGGAGAACGGTAAAGAATAATAGGTAATATGCAAGAATTGACAAAATGTAGGAGTAAATGACGAGTAATTCCAAGAGCATGCAATCTCTTTATGTAGTAAGCCAGACGGAAAACCTTCTTCGATAACAATAAAACGTGAGAAGACCAATAGAGATCAGAGGAAAAGGTAACACCAAGATAATTGACCTTCGATACTGTGTTTACCAAAGAGTCTCCGATGGCACAAGCATTATGGGATCTCAAAATGGTGTTTAGATGCCGTTCATGTCTCATGCTAAAGTTGACAGCTTGACATTTAGACGGATTAAGTATGAGACCATTACCAACAGACCAACAATCAATACGAGACAAAAACTCATTCATTTCTATTGGGTGTAAAGAGGAAGAGATAGGCATACATACAGTGAGATCATCCGCATATTTCACAAAAGTGTTTTCTGTGGAAGATGGCAGATCATGCAGAAAAAAAGAGAAAAGAAGGGGTGAGAAAACAGCTCCTTGTGGTACACCTTCATGAGACAGTAGAGACTCTGAACACTTTCCTCCAAGTACAATGTACTGTTCCCTTCCAGAGAGGTAAGAACATAGGGGGTTGGTTATCCAGCTGTCAGTGTTGACGCTGATTAACTTATTAATTAAACGTTGTCTTGATATAGAATCGAAAGCTGAAGTATAGTCCAGAAAAGTGCATCGAACATACTTCTTACCCTTTTCTAAGTTGAACACTATATTGTGATGCAGAACAGCAACAGCATGTAAGGTGCTTCTTTTGCACCTGTAAGCAAACTGATACGGATCAATATGCTCTTTTATCGCAGGCTGAAGTGGAAGTATTGATGATTTTTCCATTGTTTTGAGGAAGGGTGAAGTTATTGCAACAGGTCTAAATTTCACATTCTTATCACCAGATACTTTCTTGGGTACAGGAATTATCTTCATCTTTCTCCACATTTTCGGTATGAGATCAGATGAGAAGGATCTGTTAAAGATAGTCGTGAATGGATAAAGTAGGACGTCAGCACGCTTTGTAAAAAGGAGGTTTGGGACACCATCAGGTCCTAAACATCGGGATGAATTAAGTGACTGGAGACATGTTCGGACATCAGTTTCAGTGAAACTAGGAACACAACTATTCTTTAAACCTGTGGATGAAGGGAGCACATTTTGTGTAAGAGTTCGTGTTACTACTTGGTCGCCTAAATTAACCGAGTTCATGCTCATAACTGTATTGGTTAGTATGAAGGGACATCAGTAACGGATACTGCTGTAATCATTTGAATAAGTTCAAAAGGTAGTTTTGTTATTTAATATTTTCTAATTTCATTTCTTGTAGCTATAATTTACCTTGGTTTGCACAACTTCAAATACTTGCCAGCAATGATTTAAACGAAGATACATTACATTCTTTTAATCAACAAGTATGTGAATTTATTAAGAAAAAAAAGATAAATAAAAGTTTATTATATGTAATTCTTCTGAAAGTGCTGTTGTTTTGTCTTTTTGAATTTCTAAATGGTTGTTAGTTCACGCCTTTTAAAGCATACTTCGTTAAGTGGTTGAAGGTAATCAAAAGGAAGCGTCGCTCGATCTATGTTTCGCGGTAGTTCTAATGATCTAATTGAAAGAATTCGTTCAGCTCTTTAGAATACGCAGATAACATAATCGTGTTTGGTGGACACGCTGATAAAATTCACTCTTTTGGTAGCACTGAATAATAATGCCAGGATGTTTCGGATGTGTTTCTCTCCCTCTAAATGCGGATTATTGCTTCAAAACTAGCCTGCGTCGACAGCTGGACTAATAGTAGAGAGTGAAGTAGTCGAACGCGTCGACAACTTCACTTTATATTGGAAGTCTGATCAGCCCAAATTGGTTGGTGTCTGATGAAATCTCAGGACGGATTCAGAAAGCTCGTTTGGCTTTTGCCAACTTACGTGACCTATGAAGAAGGCGATTAATTATTTATTATTATTAATTAAGGGACGAGTATACTTCGCGGCAGTTCGTTCTGTTCTTTACGGCTTCGAAAAGTGGCCTTTAAGAGTAGAAGATACTCGTAAGCTATTAGTATTTGACTAAAGATGCCTTAGCAATATTGCTTGTATCTGCTGGGATCACTGGGTAAGTAATAGTGAAGTTAGACACAGGGTATTAGGGTGTGATGGTAGATCAGTTGATAAGGTTGTGAATCTTTATCGACTGAGATGGTTGGGCCCTATGTTACATATTTCTGAACACCGATTACCACGACGCGCAATGATGACTAGTGTTGGAAGAAAGTTAGTGGTGGCCAAACCGAAATAGGGCATCAGTTCATAAAGTCACTAGTTTCTGGTTTGTTCCATGTTGGTAGATGCAGACTACTGAGTTGGGGTACACACGACTTTCGTAACCAGTGGTTGAAAACTGTGGGTGACATGGCTCAGAATCGATCACAATAGCGTCGGTGTATAAACTCTTTGTCTTACCTTAAGCCACGAGATTAAAATTACTGTATACTTTTCTTTCTACACACTAATTCTTTCTCCCTGTATCATATCCTCATATGAAATCTCTCTTTTATATATTACTACCATTGAAGTAACTACTTCTATGAATTTGATGTTCATCTTGTTGTACTAATGAGGTGTGTTAACTTGGACCGATGCATATATATGACTGGTCCTACGTTGTAGATGACTGACTGAATTTATGAATACTTAGAACTAAAGATGAGATATTGTTCATCGAAATACTTGTGAATATACCCAAAAGATTGATTAATAAGAGCTACTTTGAGCTATTGTTACAATGGTTAATAATGTGAAATAATCTTTCATCACTATGTTATGTCAATTTGAACACTGTTTTCGATCGTAGTAGGTTGGTATGTGTATTTTTATCTATCTACATCTTAACTGATTTTTGCACACTTATTAACTTATAATTTATATATGTATATGTATATGTATATATGTACTATACTACTAAATGTGCACTAACCACTGAAAAATTTATCCATATTGCATTTTTCTAAATAATCCTTCAGTCTTTTAAACTTTATATTAGTAGTACATAAAATTTTAACTTGGAAAAGTTTATAAAATATCAACTTACTATGGAATCTTGTAATCATTTTCTGATGTCATAGAACAAGCTAAGGTTGAAATATGTTTTCATTGTTTTCTTCTCTCTGTATCTTCGATCTCTACCTTTTTAATATTGATTGCTTTTGAGATTAAATTACAAAGAAATGCTTCCATTTTCTGGTATCTATTCATTCTAGTTCATATTTCATCGTTAGACAAACACTGCATTTTGCATAAATAAATTCCATACCTTTTTTGTATACTGATTTGTGTACATTGAGTTTTTATTACTATGTAGAGTTTTCTGGAGGTAGTTTGATACTTTTAGCTTGTATCTTTTATATCCATCATGCTTTTTTTGGGTATTATTCAAATCATCAAACGTTTAAGCATTCACCGTCATTTATATTACGGACTAACTTAAGTTAGATATCCACTGAAAACCAGGGAAGACTGGAAAGCTATTTCATCGTAGTACGAAGCTCCTTAGCGGTGCTCACCCACGACCTCGCCACAGGTAATCGAACCCAGGACCTTCAATTCTTGTGGTGAACGCTTAATCTCGAGACCACTGAACCAGTATTCAGTGGTGTGTATGTATGGTAAATCAGTTGATGAGGTTGTGAATCTTCATCGACTGAGATGGCTGGGCCTCGTGTTGCGTATGCCCGAACACCGATTACCACGACGTGCAATGCTAACCGGTGTTCGGGATGGTTGGAAGAAAGTTAGGGGCAGCCAAACCAAAACGTGACATCAGTGCTTGAAGTCACTAACTTCTAGTCTGAGCCATGTTGGTAGATGCAGACTACTTGGTTGGGGTCCACGTGACTATCGTAACCAATGGTTGGAGACTCTTGGTGACATGGCTCAGAATCGATCACAATGGCGTCTTTGTATACACTCTCCGTCTTCCCTTAAACTGAGAAATTAAAGTCGCTTCATATCTTTCTTTCTACGAACTAATTCTCTCTTCCTGTACTATATCCTTATATGCAGTCTTCCTTTTATATATTACCACCTCTGAATTAACTACTTTTATGAATCCGGTGTCCATCTTGTTGTGTTAATGAGGTATGGCAACTTGAACCGATGCATATATGTGCCTGGTCCTACGTTGTAGCTGACTGACTGACTGGGTGTGTATGCTTGACGTCAATCGATCCACGAAGTCGCGTTATCATCTCCAATTATCTTCGGTGAGTAGCTGCCTAGTTTTTTGCCCTACTGATTCAATGCATTTTGAGATATCGTATTTTCTATCCTCAGGATCACTCAATTGATGCATTTTGTGTTGGGACAAATCTAGTCACCTGTCAAAAACAACCAGCCTTAGGATGTGTATATAAACTTGTTGAAATTAATGGAACTCCAACAATGAAACTTAGTGCTGATTTTGAAAAACTTACTTTGCCAGGAAAAAAAGTAGTTTATCGTTTATATAGTCAGCAAGGTGAGTTACGTTTTTTGACTTAAACGCCTTCTATTCATGACGTTTTCGCTCTCAGTTTTATTGTACTTATTATCGTTATAAGTAGTAAAACGTACCTTGATATATTCTTTATTAGTAACACGTGTTCAGAATTATTTATGAAAGTAATGATGAACAGTTAGGTACGAAATTAAAAGGATAAGGGAAATTAGGTAATAATATCCAAAAATAGTATTTATTGATGAAATTAAAATGGGTTCTTATGAAATCTGAACTATCTTGTTCAGAGGTCAAATCTTCATAAGTAATAAAAAAAGACATATTAACGAAATTATATTACAGTTAGAAGACTGCAAGTGCGGGAATGCACTGTCGTCTAGATAGTGCTATAGTCTTTTGAATTAACATCCAACTGAAGTTATTGGTTAGGGTACCTTCGAAAGTGATCATATAAAAATGTTTCCTTTTGTATCTTAGAACGGTGAAATATATGTCTAATTTTTGAGTGATACTATCTTGTTTATTGTTTGTTCTAATTTTCCGTTCAATCTTCTCACTAACTAGATATCCAGAATTAAGATACTGACGACTAAGTGCTAATGAATTTTTCAAATTTATTATTAATTTCTTCTACTTCTCTACTCTTTAACAGTGCGCAAATACGACGCTACATTAAATATAACTTATTGATGCAAAGTTTCACAGTGGTCAATATATCATTAAGCCATTTATTTAGCGTAATGCATTTTTGACTCCAAACTACCTTAACATCGGTGTTCACTGTTTAGGGGTCTCAATCAATACAGAATGTTTACCCACTTTTTCCTTATTTTTTTATTACTCGGAAATTTTCATGAGTTCAATTTTCTGTGTTTTAATGTAGGTGAAGCATTACTGGATTTAATGAGACGCTCACATGAAGATTCTCCAAACGTTAATGAACGTATTCTTTGTAGACACCCAACTCAAGCATCGAAACGTGTTTTTGTTGTACCCGGAAGAGTTGAACCATTACTCAAGTTATATTGGAATTATGGAAAAGTAATTTGAAATCATTTATTTATCTTTAGTTAATTATTACCACAACTGTTTTTGGTAAGAGTATAATATACTGACGACCATGGAGTATTTATCAGCCAATCAGGAAATGGTGCCTTGTTATAAAACAATTAACAATGCAAAATAATGGAATAACAGTGTTATAATAGCTTTGGTCGTAATAATCAACATTCACACCTCAAATTATCCCTTGTGGTAAAGAAAAAGGGTAAGTTTACATATATACATACATATTAGGAGTCAGTCTAGTGTTGTGAGCCAGTTTTATCACTCCGTAGAGTTTTCATCACCAACTCACATTGACTGTAGTGCAAAAAGATTAAGGTTAAGTATCAAGAGTTAAACTAGAGTTATGAGTTAGATTTACAAATCAAGATCAGAGTTTCAACACAAATTGACATCAGCTATAATTCAATGCCATGCTAACTTCCTGTTTACAAAATTGAGAAACTGAAGTTTGGGATGTAAAGTGAGATTAATAAAGAGGACATTATCTAGCTTCACTAAACACGCGATCAACGATACCAAGTACTTTTAAACACACTCTGCTGTAGAAGCAGGTATGCTGTTGAATTTAGATTATGCACCATCTAAAATTTATTTATTGTTGCACAACAGATATTTTCATCGATTTCAAACATCTTAAGAACTAAATATTACTATATTCCACTTGGCATGACTTACACGTTATATATCACTGATCTCTGTACTTCGCTCAAAATACGAGTTATCTTAATTCTGATTTGTCAACCCAAAGTCGTCAGTATATTCTATTTTTTGCCATGATTTTAATCTGTGTATTTTAGCTAGTGTAGTGGCTAGTACTACTTCAAGCTCACATGGATTATTCTAGCTGCTGAACAGACTAATTTATTCATTTTTCTCAAACCACATTTTGATCTTGTCATTTATTCGTCTATTAATTCTAACCGTTCTTTATATGACTGTATGTGTGTTAATTGCTTACCCTATTCATCACGTGTCTTTAACTTATTTTTGTTTGAATATATTGAGTCTCGCCTAATCAAAACGAGTTGGCTCACTCGCCTTCTCCACTGCTCTTCACTTCGTTTCTCTGATTGTCTGTTCGGATCAATAAGTGTATGAAATATACGTATTCAAAATTCATTCTCGCATTTGACTTATCTAATTCCGTTATTCACTGACGCGATTTAAGCCGATAAAAATATACGAGAGTTGGCGGCATGTATAGTTCGATATCAATCAGCATACGATTTAAATGGAGTCAGATATCGGACCACTAAAGTGTATTGCCACGAATAAGCAGTACTTTAAAGAGAGGTAAGATTGTTGTATTCTAAATTATGTAAATTAAAATTTTCACTTCAGTTTATGTATTTATTATATGAACTGCGTCACATTACATAAACTAGACGAAGTATTTTTGAGTAATTGTTTGCAACGCTAATACATGTACTATAATAATATCATTTAAATTGTAATTTCATCTTACCTACTCATTCTCTCTCTCTTTGCTTCCTATTTACCAATTACAGTTAGTTAAACCATTGCCGACACTGAATGAATCTAGAGAATACGCTATGAATGAATTAAACACTCTAAGACCAGATTATAAACGTATAACTAAACCGACGCAATATAAAGTTTCAGTTTCGGATGAATTATATCAATTCACTCAAGAATTATGGCTTAGTATTACACCAATTGGTGAAATTAGTTAGTAATTTTATCCAACTTTTTATTACTACTGTTATAAATAGTTCATTTTTCTTTATATCCACCTTTCACATATCAACCTGATTTATAACAAATGTACTATTTTTTGCCTGCCATCATTTGTTTATTACTTATTTCCTTATTATTAGTAGTATTCTGATTAGTATTTTGTTTAAGTCTTGCTTTACTATACAAATAGATTGCTTTCAATACTTTTTTGTGATAAATTTGAAAGATACATTCAAAACAACATATCTATGTATTTTTGACTACATTTTCTCATACCAAATATTTTTTATGTATAGATTATGAATACCAATAAAAAATTTCGTCTTGTTCGCAAAGAATATTCACTTTAGTTGCCATTTTGTTGTTGTTAAATTCTTTGTGGTAATAGACAACATAAACTATGCTATGAAATAATGGAGATTATTTTTCGACTCAGGTGGATACTTTTGGTAGTGTTGAATTCTTCTAACTAGATGTTTTATAATTTCGGAGTTCTCATTTTCGTTCTGGACAACACATCAGTGCTTACTACAAAAGGTTACTCGGAAAGACAATGAATGCTTTACAACCAAATCATTGAGCTCGGAGACCACAACAAAACTATTCTATGGAAGAATGTTCTCCTTAAATATCGGGTTTACGTTTTATATACACATAATATTAGTCAAAGTACCTGTACTTGGCTAGTGAGTAACTGTGTCAACAAACCCCTATGAAGCATTGTATTCTTATCTTCTGAAATTGGTTACTGAGAATAAAAATTATCTCCTAAGTGTTTCTATTTATTTTAGTTCCGACTAAAATATTCATATCTTATCTAAAATGATTATGATTTTTTTTTGAATTTTTCTGTCCATTTTTAAATCCTTATTGTTTGTATTTTCAAGTTTATTGAGTTTTCACACGTATCACTGCTGTTGAGATCTTTATTTATTTATTTGGACACATAAATATTGGTACAAAGGTGCACCAGATACATATGCGTCACACAAATAACGATGGGAATATGAAGACATATAGAATGTAAGGTGAGTATAGGGAAAAGGGGAACAATAACGAACGAAAATTTGTGCATGATAGTGAAATAGTAATAATGGAAGAAACAGTTCAGTTAGCAAAGGCACAACCAGAAAGAATTGTCTCAGTCACCTAAGTTACGTCCACTTTTATGAAGAACGTAAAATAAAGTTACAACAGGTTTGCCACTGGCTTCTATTCTGAGCAAGATCTGGTAACGTCTCTATCCAGTGCTGCACCATCTCCAAGACCACAACCAGGGAGTCCTGAAGTAGCAACAGAAGCCAGTCTTGTACAACTTCCTTTCATATCACGACACCATGTCATACACTGACAACCTCTCCGTTTTTTCCAACCAGTCCCAGAGTCGGCAAATAATTCGCGACGTGGAATTCTCTCGGCGACATTTGTAGAACATGTCCAAGGCACCGCAGTCGGTGTTTCAAGATGCTGACACCAATTGATTGCATGGTTTTAGTATCATCGCATAGTAAAATAATATCATCTGCATACTCAAGGTCAAAGTTTTTCTCTATGCAACAGATCCATACCACCATTGCCTACTTTCATCAGAGCAAAGTCGGGGAGGAATAGTTAGATTGAGCAACCCTGCTTACCCCACTGCTTGGATGGGACAATAAAGAGAGATGGCTATATGATTTCACTCTGCCTGAAATGTTTGTATATAGGGTTCTCAGGATGTTAATCAATTTCTCAGACACACACTTCTTCAATAAACAATCACAGAGAACAGTCCGGTCCCACGAATCGAAGCCAGCCATAATGTCAAGAAACATTAGGGCTGTTGGTCTGTGGTAAGTATAACCGTGTTCTGCCATTTGGCGGAGGGTGATATGGTCAATATATCTTTGACCAGAATGAAAACCAGCCTGCTGCTTGCGAGTCCACCCCTCCCGGGTATCGAGCAATCTACGAGGTATGACGAAACCAAATAGTTTGGACGCAACCGAAAGTAGACTTATCACCCAACAGTGACAACTTTAGATTCATTCCAGGGTGTTGGGATACTCTAATTGCCAGGCCTGTGTAACCAAATCAGTCAGTTCTTTAACCAAAAGGTCATCACCATCTTTAAAAAGATCCGGAAGTAAGTCATCTGGACCTGGTGATTTGTAGCGCTTCAGGATTTGGAAGCTGCTACCTTGACGCGGTGGTCGGGCTTGCCTATCGTGATGACCCAACCGAGCTATATTGGCTGGAACATATGTTCCTGCAGGTTCTACCATGCCAGGCAGGTCGATTGGCGAACGGTAAGACTAAAAGCAGCAACTCAAGGTCTGAGGGCAAAGTCGTACTGCTGACTGTAGAGAGGTGTGACAGCAGTAAGGTGTTTTCCTCGGACAACCAGCATGACAGCGATGCTGCCTTCCCACAAGGAGAGGTGGGGTTAGAAAAGGTCGACCCTAAAAATGCACACCTCACCTTACCTCACGGATTTCCGTCTCCGGCGGTAAGGCCCCTTGAAGAACGGAGCTAACACGTCAAAAACCTTCCACAAAAAGGCCGTGCGCGACCGGCCTCAAGCAGTTGTCCCTTGGGCTCTGCGGTCACGCTCCCAGGTCGTCAAGACCAACACTAATCCAATTTCCTTTTCAGGTTCATCAAGAAATACCCTTCCACGGTGTGGGCAGCCGGGAAGTGACATCAGCCCTCATACCCGTAACAGCACAAGAGACCAAGGTGGTCACATTCAAATCCTTCCTACACCTCCTAATACCTCTCTTATCCTCCCGACTAACCCTCCTCACGTCTCTTTATCACCTCGCACCGCTAGGGCAAACGATTCGAGTACGTGGAACGCCATTCCTGGTCTCCTGAAACCACGCTCTAAACTACACGTAGGAGCTTTTAACGTACGAACACTTTGCCAAATAGGAGAGCAGGCTTCCTTAGCTAAAACTTTAGAATCTCGCGCCATCGATGTGTGCTGCGTCTCCGAAACGCGCATACAGGATCCAAGTAGCGTCATTCATTTGACCTCACCATGCCAAAATAAAGAACCGACTCGATTCACACATCGTGTATCTGGAAGCCCTGATTCTGCTTCCCGTGGCCTTGCCGGCGTAGGTATAGGATTGAGTCCTAGGGCAGAACTAGCTCTCTTAGAGTGGATCCCAGTAACAGTCGTTTGTGCGCTGTCCGACTGAACGGAACAGTAAGAATCCGGAAAGATAGGGACAGTCGTCGTTGCCTCTTCGTCGTCTCTGCCTATTCTCCCACTGACTGCAGCTCAGATGATGTAAAAGATGAGTTTTACAGAAAGCTTTCGGACCTTCTCCGAAAAGCTAAGCGCTCGGATGTAGTAATAGTGACCGGTGACTTTAATGCTCAAGTAGGCAAACTAAGCGATAAGGAAAGACACCTAAGTGGATCCTATGGTGTCGTGGCTCAAAGAACAGATAATGGCGACCGTCTGTTGCAGCTATGCTCAGATAACCGCCTGTTCCTTGCAAATACTAACTTTAAGCATAAGGAAAAACATCTTTTAACATGGCGACCCCCTAATTCGTCCCAACGTTGGACCCAAATAGATCACATCGCTATCAGCCACCGATGGAGGGGCTCGATAGAAGACTGTCGCTCATTCTGGAGCACATGCCTAGATTCAGATCATGCTCTAGTGCGAGCGCGTATTTGCTTGCGTCTTACTGGACGTAGGAAAGATCCTGCAAGGAAACCTCTTGGGCCCTACTTAATGATAGTCAAGCTAAGAATATATTTCAGGAACAACTAGGAAAACAGTTAGGCAGCCATGTATGTGATGCCCACCCCGAGGCAGCATGGAACGATATCCGAAAAGCTGTGGAAACAGCAGTGATATCTGCTAGTAAGGTAAACCGTAAAGTTAGGGAGCAACACTGGATCTCAGCAGCATCTATCGCACTGATAGATGCTCGAAAATTCATTCCACCTGGCTCTGAACATAATGAAGAGCGGAGTAAGCTTAAGCGCAAGCTGACAAGAAGTCTACGCAATGATCGCGAACAGTGGTGGGTAGCGAAAGCAAGAGAGATGGAAAAGGCAGCGGCAATAGGTAATAGCAGACAATTGTTTAGACTCGTTAAGGAAACCGGAATTAGGAACCCGACCGTTAGCGAAACAATCTCAGAGAAAGATGGACATATTATTCATTCTCAATCCAGGAGATTGGATCGATGGGCAGAACACTTTAGGGATCAGTTCAACTGGCCTTCAGCCACACTTCGGTTTCCCACGATCTGCAGTCAACATGAATGGCAAGTTAATGTAAGTCCTCCGTCCCTTTACGAAGTTGAAAAAGCTATAGGAAATCTGAAAGGAGGGAGAGCAGCTGGCCCTGACAGGTTTACTCCTGAGATTTTTAAGGATGGTGGTCCAGTATTAGCAATGAGATTAACTGAGGTCTTAGGTAGAATTTGGGAACTGGACGTAATCCCATCTGACTGGTCTCAATCACTGATTGTGCCAGTTTTTAAGAAAGGACAAAAGTCCTCTTGTGACAATCACAGAGGAATCAGTTTGACTAATATAGTGTCTAAAATATTAGCCTCAATAATACTTCGACGCCTAACTAAAGCTCGTGAAGAGCAGACTAGAGAAAACCAGGCTGGTTTTCGACCTGGACGTGGTTGTATCGATCAGATATTCACACTACGTCAGGTTCTAGAACACAGACACACATTCAGACGCCCCACAATGGTAGTATTTCTCGACCTTAAGGCGGCATTCGACTCCGTTGATCGTGAGGTTCTATGGCAGTGTTTGTCACTGAAAGGAGTACCAAAGAAGTACATTAACCTTATAAAGGCTCTCTACTCGAACACAACTGGTAGAGTGAGAGCTTATGGCGAACTGTCATCAGAATTGATCACCTCAAGTGGTGTTCGTCAGGGCTGTCCACTCTCCCCATTCTTGTTCAACTTTGTCATTGACGTACTTTTAGAGATAACACTCTCCTCATCTAAATTTACAGGGATTG